AGAAAAGGCCTGGCAGTCCGCTTCCAGAAATCAGCCAATGGAAACACGATGGATCACAACGGTCCAATCCCCAACCCATCACAGGGGCAGCACGCAGCTGGGAGGCATCTTGCTCTGAGGAGCCTGGGGCCAGCATGAGTCAGGGCTGTCTGAATGGCACCCAACAACAACAACAACAGTCGTTAGGGGGCGTTCATCTACCCAGCCATTCATCAGGAGCCTGTTTGGTGTGAGTGTGACTTTATTGGGTGTGAGCTGGGTACTGTAGGAACATGACAGCCTTCTTGCCCGGTTGCTGGCTGGTGCTTTACACACCATTGGGAGAGTGCCATGAAGAAGGCAACCACAGCCTTTAAAGGATGGGCTGGGAAGTGGGGTCAGTGAAGACGGCTGGGAGGCAGAGAGCTCCATGGTGCCACCCCTCCAAGAGAGACCGTGGGGCCACTGGCAGCCACCCCAGAGCAGGTTTGCTGGAGAGGTGCGATCAGGCGCCTTCTCTGGCGCTGATGGGCAGGGAAAGGGTGGGGAGGGTTTCACAAGGACTTGGTTCTAAACTGGAGTCCCTGGGCGGGGCGAGTGGTTAATGCGCTCAGCTCTTGCCCTGCAGGTCGGTGTTCAAATCCACCCAGCGGCAGCGCCAGAAAGGCCTGGCCATCCACTTCCAGGAGTGCAGCCCTGAGGGTGCTACGGAGGACAGCTCCACGCCGACACACGCAGGGTCACCTGGGGCTGGAGTCGACTCAAGGGCACCTGGTTGGCTTTGGCTTTGGCCCCAATACACGGATTTAAGGTATACCCTAAAGAGTTTGGCCCTTGAACTTGAAAGAAAGCAAGTGAGAAGATGTGGAAGAAAATGACAAGCTCCAGGGCCCTGGAGCAGTGTTCACCAATTTCCATCCTTTTGTCTTCGTGATTTTTGTCGTCTCTGCCTACCACCAATATTATTTTTCTTCCGATTCACTTTTTTTTTTTACACATAAAAATGTTTACCCTCATTCTATAAGCTATAAAACTGTGAAATCATAGGTACTGGAGGTCAGTTAAGGTAAACACCAGCTGCCCTAACAAGTAAACCCTAAATTCTCAATGCCCCAACAGTCAGGGAGTCCTCTCTGTTCAGTTAGAAGAGAGTGAGGGGCTGTCTGGAAGGTTCCTTCAGGCCGGGCTTGATGGTGGCCTGCTCATTCACTTTCTATTGGCCAGGACAAGTCACATGGCCATACACCATTGCAATGGAAGCTGGGAAATACCATGTAGTGTGTGAGGGGGAAAAAACAGGTTTAGACGAACAAAGCATTTTCTGTCCCAAGTGGTGCCAATCTTTTTGTAAGAATGACCTTCCTCAACACCCCTCCTTGTTCATTAGGTGGGCAGGTGGTAACTGGGGCAGGTGGAATGGCAGCACTGGGTTAAGGTCCTCACCTCTGCTACTGGGGGTATGATGTCAACAAGCAAGCAGGTCTCCCTGAACCCTTTCCTCAAATGCCGAATGGGCGTGACTCCTAGCTGGTGGTGCAGGCAGGGCTGTCGCTGCTGGCTGCCATCCACTTGGCTCCCAGCAGAGCAACGCCACGCACAGTGGACAGAATGCTGCCTGGTGGTCCCGTGCCATCCCCATGATTGGGTGGGCATCAGACCGCTGGGATCCACAGGGTTTTCACTGGCTACTTTGGGAAGGGGATCACCAGGCCTTTCTCCTGGATGGGTGGGTGGTGGTTGCACACGACGTGTGGTGGCTGGGAACCAAGCCTGGGTCTCCCACGTGGAAGGTGAGTCATCTCCACTGAGCCACACTGCCCACAGCTGGAGGGCTACAAATAACAAACACAAGGGGGAAGAGGGGCTTCCAGGTGGTCCTGCTGACTTGACGACCTCCAACCACATGGGCGGGTTCGGTGTCCCACACACCGTCTCAGTGCTGCCAACATGCTGTTCCTAGGTCGGGTGGGCCTTTGGTCCAGCTGGCTCTGTCTCAGCCTTTGGGCATTTGCATTAAAGTCACAGCTCCAATGAAGCTTTTCATGAGACTCAGGCCTCCCTCCACCACCCGGCAGGCTGGACTCTCTGAATGGCTCCCATCCACCCTTTCCCCCCAGACGACACATTATCAGAGCACAGAAATGGCTCAGCTTCTAAACTTTCTGTTGTACAACTGGGATTGCCAATTCCAGGAAAATACCAAAAAGGCCAGGCATCAGCTGCACTCCCTTGGGAAACAGTGGGCAGCACGGATTCCCATCAGGCTGTGCTGGCTGACCTCCCCATGCTTCAACAGCAAGTGAACCACAAGCAAGAAAACAGAGACAAGCTAAATGGACTGTAAGGCGTTCTGGTGGCATAGTGGTTAACGCATTTGACTGCTAATCAAAAGGTCGAAGGCTCAAATCCACCAGCCACTCCATGGGAGAAAGTTGTGGCAATCTGCTTCTGTGAAGATGACGGCCTTAGAAACCCTCTGAGGCAGTTCCACTCTGTCCTCTAGGGGCGCTGAGTCAGAATCAACTCCACGGCAGTGCATTTGCTTTGGTTTTAAATGGACTGTTGGAGGCTCTGGGTGGTGCAAATGGTTAATGTGCTTGGCTGTTAACTGAAAGGCTGGAGGTTTGAGTGCACCCAGAGATGCCTTGGAAGAAAGGCCCAGTGATCTCTTTCTGAAAAATCAGCCATTGGAAACCCATGGAGATCAGCTCTACTGTGAAACACATGGGGCACCAAGAGTCAGGGTTCACTGACAGTAAATGGGAGCTTTGGTGGCATAGTGCCCTCAGGCACTTGACTGCTAACCAGAAGGCTGGCAGTTCAAACCCACCAGCCCCTCCTCGGAAGGAAAGTTGGGCAATATACTTCCGTAGTGATACCACCTCGGAAACCCGAGGAGAGGTCACTATGAGTCAGATCTGACTCCATGGCAGTGCATTCATTTCGCTTCATTCGGTCAAGTAAATGGATCATCACGTTGTTATCCAGAAGTGCTGTTGAGGAAAGGGACCCACTGTTCTACACACAGATTCTTATCCAAAAAAAAAAAAAAAAAGCCCACAAACTCACTGCTGTCAAGTCAGTTCTGACTCATAGCATCCCCTCCTTGGGTTTCTGAGGCAATATCTCTATGGAAGTAGATTGCCCAGGCTTCCTTCCAAGGAATGGCTGGTGGGTTTGAACCGCCAGCCTTCTGGTTATCCTAGGCTTTATTTAAAGTTTGGTTGGGTACAGAAAAACACACACATACACACACTTAACAGGTTAAAATATCCAAATAAAATTTACTGCAACTTTTGTTAGAATTTGTGCTACAAGACATGTTGCATAGGAAACTATTTAAAGCCCCTGAGGAAAAATACTCATGGTTTAAGGTGCAACTGGTTTTGTTTCTTCTTTGGGGAGAAGGTGAGAGATGACCTCTAGTAAGAATGTTGGTGGAGAGATGAGAAGCAGAATTTAAGGTTTTTTATGTGATGATCATGGAAGCACTGTGTGTCCCATTAAATATCTAATGTTTTTTTTATCAGCCCATTGGTCTTCAGTTTCTCAATCAGCAGACAGGAAATAATGCTTCAGCCCCAAAAGGGATTCTGCACCAATCATGCTCAGTCATTATAAACTAAGCTATTAACATGTTTCAAGAAAGCAGATTTGGAGAAAGAGATTCAGGAGTCTCAGTGGCCCAGTGCCACTGCGGACAAACACAGAGAGTCTCTACACACCTGGGGAATTGCCCCACTCTGTGGATTTGTCAGGTATTTTCCTTGTCCAGCCTGCTGTCCCCAACTGCAGTGCAGTGGATTTACTGTAAGCATGCCTCCCCGTAAGTTGATCCACAACCCCACAGGTGATAGTTATCACAGCAACACTGAGGCAGAGTCCCTGATTTTATGTGGGTAACACTTTAAGAAAATGTTCATCCTGCTCAGATAATCTTTGCATTATACAGAGAATGCTTTTCCCTTGTACTACTTATTTCCAAGTACATTCCTTATTTTCAAGGAAATGTAGGGGTACCAGGAGAGAAGGGGGTTAAATTTCAGATGAAGCAAGTGGAGTGCTTGGTAAATGTAGCAAGCACCCCTGTTTTTGGCATACAGCATCTGTGGCCAACCGGCATCTAGGAGGGTGCAAGCAGGGTAGGTGCTCATCTGGCTGAGCTGGGGCATTCACCTTGCTCCCGAATGGCATTGTTGATTGAATGATCAATCGCACCCAGGCAGGGGCCACAATTCCAAGTGGGAATATTCCAGCTACAACTCTCAACTCTTCTCTGACCTATTGGCAGGAACATCTCCATGGCACCTAACTGCTAATGTTGGATCTAACTCTGTCCACTAACACTCACAAAAGATTCACATGTGCTGTGGGTTATCATTTAACTACAGAAGAAAGGTACAGAAGATAACTAAAACAGGAACGAAGTGGGGCCTTGGCCATTCTCAGAGAGGCAGGCATGAGCAGTACTCATTTACTGAAAACCACTTTCCTATTTGATATGCCCTTTTACAAGTATGAACTGGAGGAGGTCCAACACACAAGCAACTGCCTTCTCACGCTAATCGCTGAAATGCAAAGTGTGGCTGGGAATCAGAAATGCCCCAATGACCTTAAATACATATTTACACCTGTAACATAATTTAAAAAGGTCTTTATGCAACATAAAAATCTCAATAGCATCTGCCCCCATTAAGTGTTTTTTTTTTTTATAACCTTTATGGTCCATTAAAAAATTAGACAACCTTTCTCATGTGTCCCCCGATACCTTAAAAAAAGATTTTAAGTTTAATCTTATGCTTAACAAATAGAAAGCTATTTGATTGGCAACAACCTGCAGTAGAAAAATCCCCTCAGCCTCCCTGGAGGAGGAGAAGGGTGGAGTACGGCATGTGCTTGGTCCTGGGTGTGGGTCTAGCCTGTAGGGACCCTGACGTGTGTCTTCACAGGTGGCTCTGCCTCCCTCCGCAGTGCCACAGTGACCCCGTGGGCACCCAGCTCAGCAGCGGGTGGGCACCTGTTCAAATCACAAAGTCGTCGACGTCCACAGGGCTGAAGGCGGCTGCTCTCAGAATATCCAGAGAGTTCACCAGGATCAGGGTCCCTGTGAGGTGCTTCCAGCGCTTGGTGATGGGGTTTTTCATCTTGTCCAGGCCGGTGTGCAGCTCCTGGATGACATCACGGTAGCTGTCCCCAATCTGGCGGCTCCACGTTAGTAAGAAGTCGTAGGCAGGTTTCCACATGGCCTGCAAGTCACATGAGACAGGAGGAGGGAGGGGGAGTTAGGCGACAGTGAGCGATCGGCCCCTTTAGATCCTATAGCTGCCACCCACGTCACTCTTCTGAGGGAAGAAAGGAGTTCTGTGTGAGAGCAAAAAACCAAAAACCAAACTCACTGCTGTCAAGTTGACTCCAACTCATAGTGACTCCTCTTTGGGTTTCCAAGGTGGTATCTCTATGGAAGTAGATTAAGTCTTCCTTCCAAAGAGTCACTAGTGGGTTTGAACTGCCAGCCTTCTGACTGGCGGTCAGATGCCTTAGGCACTACACCACCAGAGCAGGTACTTAGCAAATGCTGCCTGACCAAGCAGAAAGCACTTCTTTATCCTTACAATGTCTGTGGCACTTTCTGACTGGGCCAATCATTTAGTACTTCTCTAGGCTCATAAAGAACTTCCTTCAACAACAGCAAAAAACATGTGTGTGGTTTTGTATGTGTGGAATATGCATATATTTGTGTGCACACAGGTATATTCGTGGATATAGTAAACCACAGAAGGGGACATGGTCATGGACACTCCCTAGATAACTAAACACCTCGTGGGATTGGAGTAGGACAGCAGTCTCATGGGGCCACTGCATGAAGTGGCCTAACATAGCTCATAAAATTTATGTTCTACATCCCAGTTTGGTGAGCAGGGTCTGGAAGCTTAAAAGCTTGTGAGCAGTCATCTAAGATACAACTATTGGTCTCTTCTCATCTGGAGCAAAAGAGAAAGACGGAAATCAAAGACTGAGAGAAGAAACCAGTTTACAGTCTACACAAACTGCGGCCTCATTTACCCTGAGACCAGAAGAACTAGATGGTGCCCAGCTTCCACTGAGGACAGTTCAGATCAGGGTCCGGATAGAATGTGTAAGAGAACTCAAATTCTGAACAAGTCCAGACTTACTGGACTGGTTAAAACTACACGACTCCTGGGGACTGTCACTCTGGGATACCCTTTAAGTTCTGAACGGGAAGCACCCCCAGAGGTCACCTTTCAGCTAAACAACAGGTTGGCTCAGAAAATAAACAATACCACCTGTAAGTACGTGCTCCCTTGAAAAGTCATCTACATGAGACCAAACAGTCAACATTCATCCTTGAGCAAAGAAGAGAAGGTAAGGGGGCGGGGCAGGGAAGCCAGACTAACAGAACGGAACCACCACAATGGAAGTAGTGAGAATGTCGACCCACTGTGAAAATGGAGCCAACGTCACTGAGCAATTCGTTCATAATTGTTCAGTGCAAATCGAATTTACTGTTAAGATTTCACCAAACACACAGTAAAATACTATTTTAAAAAATAAATAAATAAATAAAGCGCACCCTTTATGCAGCCTTGGGAGTTCTGCTTCCCTAGTTCTTGCAAGCCTGAACCAGCTTTCCGGAAGCTTGTTAAAGTGACCCCCACAAAGAAGAATACAAAGGATCTGAGTGAGACCCAAATTGGGCAGCTGTTGCAAATGTTATGTAACATGCAGGTATTCATCTGCCACAGCTCCTGGGCAGAGGGCCAGAGCCCAGTGATGACAATGGCTCCATTTACACAGTCATCAGTGTCACTGAAGGTAATTTAAGATCAGAACGCAGTTCTGAGTGCACTGTCCCAGCCTCCCATTTCATAGCTGAGGGACCTGCCATCGTCAAAGCCAGCCTTACAACACACAGCACCAAGAAGGGGGACCATGCTCACGCTTACTGACAATGCCGTGTGCCAGGCTCATGCTTCTGTGTTTCTACTCATTTTATCCTCATAACAATGTTGCCAAGTAGGTGTTTTATTACTGTGTGTACCATTTGGGAGCCCTGATGGCCCAGTGGTTAAGCACTTGGTTGCTAACTGAAAGGTTGACAGTCTGACCCCATCAGCTGCTCTGTGGGAGCAAGGTGAGGCAGTCTGCTTCCCTAAAGATTACAGCCTTGGAAACTCTATGGGGGAAGTTCCACTCTGTCCTCTAGGG